CTATTGAACCATGTTATGGTGAGCAGGCAGGCCATACGGATTGCTAGCAGTCCTATTGCATCATCTTCTGCCGAGCAGCCATGAGATGTGGATGGCATGCGGTCCTTCTGCACCGTCTGCTGCCAGCCAAAGATGTAAAAGATAGATGTATCAAAACAAGAAATAGACCAGATTTGTTTTGTACTCATTTGCTTCCCCCCCGCCCCATCTAGGGGACTCATTCCTCTAGGTCACACTGCAGTCACTCACAGAGAAGGTGCAGCGAGGTAAATCTAGCCATTTATCAATCAGAGGCCAAGCTAACCTCCTTGTTCCAATAAGAACAATAACTTAGGTGCACCATTTCTTATTGGAACCCTCCGTGAAGTCCTGCCTGAAATACTCATTGTTGTAAAGCCACCCCCTTTGTTGATTTTAGCTCCCTGAAGCCAACCCTGTAAGCCGTGTCGTCAGTCGCCCCTCCCTCCGTCAGAGCAACGGCAGACGATCGTGCATCTGAGTTGAGAGTGCTGTCCAGAGCGGTCACAATGGAGCACTCTGGGATAGCTCCCGGAGGCCAATACTGTCGAATTGTGTCCACAGTACCCCAAATTCGAGCCGGCAAGGCCGATTTAAGCGCTAATCCACTTGTCAGGGGTGGAGTAAGGCAATCGATTTTAAGAGCCCTTTAAGTCGAAATAAAGGGCTTCATCGTGTGGACGGGTGCAGGTTTACATCGATTTAACGCTGCTAAATTCGACCTAAAGTCCTAGTGTAGACCAGGGCTGAGTGAGGACGCTACGCATCTGTCATGCTTCTGTCAGGCTGTACAGCTACAGCAAGTGAACACTGGCTGGCATGACACCGTTTCCCTTCCACCCTCCCGGGTACAGTGCGCTAAAAGGAGCAATCTTTAGTGACAGGCAAAGCCGGAGCTGCAGTAAATGAGGGTAGGTTGCTTCAGGGCGCTGTAACAAGTGAGAGAATGATAAGTATGCATGGCTTTAGCCAGCAAAGTAGGAATGATGTAGCTTTGCTTATTAAAGCTTGTCTGACACTTTTGTCCACTGATTGCGCTCATGTGATGGGGGATGAATATGCAAATTCACAGGTGACTAGTGCTCCCCTTGCTCACTTCTTGTTTTAAACTGCTCACAAGGCATGAAATTGCACCAAACTTGGAGCTGCAAGACAGTGCAGTGGCAGGAAAATATTTGAGCTTGGTATCATTTGATCTACCACTGTTCTATGTTGACAAATGATAGATGCCTCATTAAACCACTCGATAGCTCAAAGTTATATGCCTCTCCACAGACTAGCAATAGCCCAGTGTGCTTCTAAAGCTGTCTTATAGTAGCCCTTTGTAGTATGTATACCATTCCGTATGTTTTTAAGGAGCAGCTGCTTAGAGAGTCTTTACTGATAAATTTCAGAGTAGCAGCCGCGTTAGTCTGTATTTGCAAAAAGAAAAGGAGGACTTGTGGCACCTTAGAGACTAACCAATTTATTTGAGCATAAGCTTTTGTGAGCTACAGCTCACTTCACTGGATGCATAAAGTGGAAAGTACAGTGAGGAGATTTTATATATACACACAGACCATGAAAAAATATACATTGTAAGGAGAGTGATCACTTAAGATGAGCTATTACCAGCAGGAGTGGGATGGTTTTTTTTACTGATAAAGATTCAGATGGAGAGGGATTTCTTCCTGACACTAATAGAGCTTTCGGATGTGTAACGTTTACCAACAGATTTGGCCTATTAATCAGTGTTGTTAGCATATTGATTTAAAAGCTGCCAGGAGTTATTTTAAGGAAACGGCTCTTACACCCATTACTGGAAATGCCATCAAGGATATGAGAAAGACAACTCACTGTGTTACATTCAAAGGTAGAAGCTGCCAAAACAAATAACTTTATTGGCTCCCATTTGTACCTGATGGCCATTGTAGGAAAAAGGGACTAGCCTACTAGGGACTAGCCTCTTTTCTTGGTGTTGGGAATAAATTGGCCTTTCTAGCGCTATATAGATATATATATAAAAAAAGTGTTAACCCCCCCCCCCCGTGAAATGAGGCTCCTTATTTAAACCAAGTATCAAGTCAATCAGTGAGATTCCAAAGGAGAGAGCTACAAGTGCTTTGCTGTCAGAGAGATGCAATTGCTTTATATACATTCAGTTGAGGATTTTTTTCAAAGGTGCACAGCATTGGCCTGTTAAATCCAACTCAGCTCCTTTTAAATCCAATCGGAGCCCTTGTGAAAGCCCCATCCCCACGGTTTGCTGAAAGCTAACCTGGGTATGGCATTTATTTAAGCACAAGTAGGCTGACGGGAGGCAGGTTAGTTTTCTGGGTGTGATTAGAAACCAGAGCAAATAGTCTAGGCAACAGTCCTAGCTCTGCCATAGACTCTTGCAGGACCGTGGGTGAGTAACGACCCTCCATACGCCTCCCTTTCCCTCCCTGTCAGCATCTCCCAAACTTTGGGTCCAGAGTGTGGTGAGACGGGTGCTGCGCAGTGATAGAGGGCGGCGTGCCCTTCTTCCGCCGGCCCCTCGCTGTGTGTGCTGCGACATGTTGGCACGCTCACGCCACGCCACAGGGAGGCCTCAGCTGCCGCAGTGTGGAGCCCACAGGCCGGGCGAGGGAACCCAGCCTGGCCCAACCCACATCCAACACTTGTAGTTAGGGACCCTGAAGGTCGTGTTACCAGCACTGAGCCTAAAGGAGGTCATGGCATCAAAAAGTCTGGGAACCACCCATCTGCGTAAAGTGGGGGAGCCATGCTGAAAGCTCTTCCTCGCAGCGTTGATGTGTGGGCTGGCCCATTGGCACAAATACACTCATTCACGCACCAGCTCCTGCCAGCACTTGCATATTTGATTCATAGTAAAAGCTGGTAACGGGCAGTAATCATTCAGTGTTAAAGGCTGTATGAGGGAAAAATTAGCACATGTTTAAAAAACAATTGTAGTCCATGACTATTTTGGCTGGAGGACATAATTACTATTTAATCTGACTCATGAGACTTTTAACGTATAAACCTTTACATCAGTTCGCAACCCAGCCCGGCGGCACGTGCTTCACACTGAGACGCAAAGTGGAATCTAGCGCATCATGGCAGACGCTGCAGATCTTAAGCATAGGCTCACCATTTTATTTATTTAGTCGGCTTGTACAGACCCTAGCATATGGGGTCCTTGTTTGTGACTGGGACTCCTAGGCTGTACAGGAATACAAATAATAAATGATGGGACTTACTCTACAGGTAGGCAGCCATCATGTGAATGAGAGTTTGTGAGGTTGCTGGAGCTTACAGGGAAAGGATCATGGCGGTTTGATTCTACACACTGGGTTCTCACAGCATGGAGTCTTTAAACGGCTTAAGGCAAAATGGAAATGGCTCACATGACGCCTAAGACAGGATGGCAGCCTTTCCTGCCAGTTTTAGTAGCAAGAAACAGTAGAAAAAGCCACCTTGGGTGTGTGTGGGGGGGGAAGATGCTGTTTACTTAGAGGCTGGTTCCATGGAACAAAGTGCTGCAATCTTAGCCATAAAATGTCACAATACATTCCAGTCAGGCGGAAGCTGTCTCCTTGATGTTCAATCCAATTTCACACTCACAAGTAGGACAGAAGGAATGAGGTACACGGAGTGTTTCCTGGTAATAGGTTGCAGCTAAGATAATTAGGGCGGCAAGTTTATGTGAAGAAAACTAGGAATTTGTTTTATGCTCATGTGGTAAAGGCCACCAAGGCAATGTCTAGGCAGTAACATCAAACAGCTCTCCCAAGGGACATAGAATATCAGGGTTGGAAGGGACCTCAGGAGGTTATCTAGTCCAACCCCCTGCTCAAAGCAGGACCAATCCCCAATTTTTGCCCTGATCCCTAAATGACCTCCTCAAGGATTGAACTCACAACCCTGGGTTTAGCAGGCCAATGCTCAAACCACTGAGTATCCCTCCCCCTACATACTTGACTGTACTTCTAGAACCAACATCCCTTACAGAATCCCAGCCCCAGCCCGCTACAGAGATGTTGTTTGTAATGGAAGCGGTCAGTAACATCCAGCCATTAACTTAGAAAAGTCAAGAGATAAGGCTGTACCCCGGTCCAGCCGGAGTGATGTTTCCCAGAAAGGTCTCTTATCCCTGCCCTTGGTGTCACCCCACATGCGCCTACACTTCTGTTTTTGTCATTTCTGAAATCTTGTCAATAAAGGCTAAAGGCAGACTCAGGTAGCAACATAAGGTGAAAAAGGTGGAGGACACAGACTAAAACTGGCAAGACACTTTCAATTCAGAGGCTAGTTATGGCTTTAAGGCAACATGCGGACAGACTAATAACCTTCAAACATTCTGTTTTTCCTGTTCTACATACCATTTCAAGACGATGAGGAGCCCTAGTAGAGCGTGCCACTAAACTCATTAAAGAGCTGCAGGATAGGAAAGACTAAATAGTCTCTTGACTTTTATTATGCATAGCTTTCCCTCCCATTCCATACTGTCGGGCTGATGGTCTATACAGCTAACTAGAGTTTAGACCTTCTACAGAACCGCGGATATTAGGTCCAACTCCCCCATTCATTAACGCAAGGCTTGGAAGCTTAGTTCCTTTTACAGGAGTTACTGAACAAAGTGCTCCTATTTTACCAAATCAGTGTCTTCCTTTTCCATATTTGGTTAGAGCAGCATGTGGGTGAGGCTACATACCTTTGGAGATCTGTGCCTGTATAACTAATTTACTCTAAAGTTTTTTAGATCACTGGTTTGCAGCCTTGCCCATGGAAACTAGAGATTCACAACAGAAAACTGAGAACTTACCCTTCTCATTAAGAAGGGGGTGTGTTTACAGTCTCTCTCCCTGTTCGCAACCCCTAGTTGAGGGATCAAGTTTTAGGTCATCATTTTTCTTTTATCTCAACACCCCTTGATCAGCATAAACTAGACTATTTATGTAAAAAGAAAGTTTAATTACAAAATAAATAGGTTTCCTTTACGTTGTGCACATACCTTAAATATTAAATACAGTAATAAATATTTACAATAGTATAAAACTCTGTACTTACATACTTTACAGAAATAAAATTTAATTTTACAGTTTTGCTTAATAGAAAAATCTTTTCTGATGGTTAAGCCTTTGAAATAAATTATAAACATACTTGACTCCTGAAAAGAATGCAATACTTCATGCGTAAGATTTGGTTTGAATCTGTTAAGGAAAGTTCTCAAATGAGATCATAAGGACACAGGTCAGCAAAAGGAGATTTTTAAGACAAAGTACTTTAGAAAATTCTGTGCATTTCGGGGGGGGGGGGGTGTCACAACATCTATAAAAGTTATTGTTGATATTCAGCAAGCAGTAGTATCTGACTCTAGCTCTTCTCCAGAAGAGAGGTTCTCTATTACTGGATCTAGAAAACATTTTATATCTTTTATCACTTGAGGTTTAGTTGGAAGTACACCAGACACTCGCTAGAACGCGCATCTATAGAGTGCGAATTTGCATATAATGCGGTCGCAGCCATGGATGCCAAATTTAATTACTTTAATTGCAATTCATTTTAATGCGGTCCCTGCGTTAACGCAGTACCGTGCATGGATCCCAAATCCCACGTTCTAGCGAGGGTCCGGTGTACCAAGATCTGGAAGCCCAGGGAGGAAGCTATGGACAATGAGATCACAGACAAATGACTAATAAATTATCTGGCAGAGGTTCTGTAAAAAAGACCCAAGGAATGCCTGAAAACTAAGGGTTTGATTCCACATTTTCTGGAATTTCAGAGTGCTCATGTTTTCTTTAATGCGCATCTTAGCTGGGCAACAGCACCTAGTTCTTGATCTTATGAACTTAAAATTAGAACAAAGGTTTTCATTGTCCAAGGTACTAGAAGAAAAACCTGGAGACAATCTACAAGGAGTACTGGTCTCAAAGTTGCAGTGGGGAGGTTTAGGTTTGATATTAGGAAAATCTTTCACTAGGAGGGTGGTGAAGCACTGGAATGGGTTACCTAAGGAGGTGGTGGATCTCCATCCTTAGCGGTTTTTAAGGCCCGGCTTGACAAAGCCCTGGCTGGGATGATTTAGTGGTGGACTGGTCCTGCTCTGAGCAGGGGATTGGACTAGATGACCTCCTGAGGTCCCTTCCAACCCTGATATTCTATGATTCTAATTGAGACCCCAAAGCAATCACTCAGTCCAGCAAATGGGTGCATAACTTCACTCATATGAATAGTCCCATTGAAGTCAATGGAATTACTCATGCTTAAGTGTTCGCAGGATCAGGGCCCAGGTTTATTACAAAAGGGATCTTCAGTGAGATATCATGAGTCGATTTTGGGGAAGAACCAGAGTCAGGGCTTGTCCACACCACGCTTTAGTCTGAACTAGTATGTCATGCGCAAACTGGACTATGTGGACCCTGCTGGCATTGCAAGTTTCCCAGTGTGCATTACTGCTTGGAACAGGACTATAACTTTGCACTAGGTAAATCTGTAGCGTGCACCAGCAAGGTTGACACAGACCAGTTAGTCCACAGCACACTAGAATTCAGACCCCGGTGGTCCAGACAAGCCTTCAGATTCCTGGCCTGCTGCTGATAAAGCAGATACAGCACGTAGGATCACAGGGGTGGGAGAAGAAAGCTCGTCCCCACACCTGTAGTGCACCTCCAGTCACAAAGGTCTGGGGAACAAGCTTAATCAAATCTGGTCCCACTTCCTTTTGTGTAACAATGGGGCAGAGAGGGGCAACAAGCTCTCTGTTCTCCTTAAAGCCATGATCTCCCTTAAAGGGAGACTTTCTACAACATTCGCAGCAAACCGCAAGAGTCAGAAGGAATGTTATCCAGGTAGCAGCAGAAAGATAGTAGTCTTCCATCAATAACTGGATGGGGCCCAATGTCAGAAGTTCCTGTAGCTCCTAACAGTGGTGCTTTTAACCCTCTAGTTGCAACATCCAACACATCCTGGCTGCCCAGTGTGGAGGCAGCAGCCCTGCCCAGCTAGCTTCTCAGCATCAAGTTGTTCTTCAGATGCCTCCTTACAGGATCCATGTTGATTGAGTGGGGCCTCCTGGCAACAGCTCCTAGTGGCTCCAACACTGGCCATCTCCTACATGCATCTTCATGAAGCAGTTACTCTGTCGCTTCGGCAAAGGTCATTTCAGCTTCATGTTCTGCGAGAGACAAAGACTAAATCATACCATGTGAAGGGCAATGCAAGTTGACCTGATTTGAAAGTCAAGCCACAGCAGACTGAACACAGTCTTTGCTGTCAGAGTCTATGTTGAAAGATTTGGGGTTTCTTACTGCTTTTTCAAGGAGATAAGTATTCAGGCTTTAATAGAAAGGCAGTAAGTATCAACTGGTCCAGGCATAAATCTAAAGCTATGGGGCCAGATCCCCAGCTGATGTAAATCTGCATATATCCACCAACTACAGTTTACAACAGTTCAAGGTGTGGCCCCATGGCTTGTACTCAAAATTATTCTTTCCAGTTATTTTTTAGCCAACTGCATCAGCCCCTTATAGTCAATGAGCTAGATATGCCTGGGGTCCTTGGCTCCGAGATCAGACCTAGTCCTTTAGCCAAAAGAGGGGGAAGTGATCGCTTACTGCATTAAGAAAAGCAATCTGGATTTTGCATAAGTAGGTGAGATAAAGCTAGATTTTAAAAGGATTTTAGGGAGGACTGGAAGACCAAGCAGAACTGGATGGCTCAAAGAACTGCCAGGATACCAAGTCACATGGAGATCACTAGTTCACATTTAGATACAGCTAGGACATGACAAGGTTTTAGCCAACACATGACATGCAAGAGAATTTGTTTTACAGCACTCAGTTAGGACATGTGCTGCCTTCTCCTCTTACCCCTCCCCTGCAAATACATGCTGGTGGTGTCAGTTCTCTAACAGGACAGATGCCCACATCATAGCAGGCTGGCAGCCCTGTAGGCACTCAAGTGGACAATGTCTGTATTGACCAACTAGACACATTTCCCTTTCCTCACGTTTAAATACAGCTCCTGCAGTCCAAGGCGGGGACAAGCCGTTAGAAAGCTTGTGCTGTTCTTATATGGAGGAAATTTGGTCTCCAAGGCCAAGTCTGAATGAACTTTCATGGAGCTAAGTGTGGACGTCACTTAGATACTATGCAGCCTCCCTCGGTAACGGAATGAATAGAAAAGGCCATGACAGGGAAAGGAGTGCTTGGCACCCTCCCCTCAGGCGGCCCACGCTCGGTTTCTTTTTCTGCCATGACTCAAGCAGTCTGTGGCCTCAGAGGGAGCACACGCTTCAAACTGCCAGAGAGCCCATGGGGAGGGAGGCTCTGTACTACTCCCATACTGCCAATGGCTCCCTTTGTGAGGCTTTCCCTCAGCTCCAGCCCCTCCTGTGAGCCAGGGGAAAGCAGACACAGAAGGGAGCGTGGATGCTATTAAAGCCGCAGGAATTTCTGCACAGGTCTATGTTTGTCAAGGTTTGACGGAGACAAGAGGCTACCAGGTCATTCACCTGTGATCAGGCATTTCAAGGTCTTCCCATCCCTTGCCTCTGCATAAGACAAGAAACAGGTTCTCCAAGTACCCACAAGGCTATTACCCACACCAGGAGTTTAGGATCCTGTTTCCTAACAGCTGTGCACACAGCAAGAGTCTAAAACTCCCGGTTATGCAGAATTATGAAGCGTGCAAGTGTTTTGTGGATGGTACAAGCTTAGAATATCATCGAACTAAAGCAATGTCATTCTGTACCTGCGCTCTCCTTTACACGCCAACGTGGCCATTTCCAGTCTCTTGTCTGAGCTTTTTTCTTTCCTCCTTTTCTTCACATTGAGGATACGTTTTCCTGAGCCTGTGGAGTCAAATCATTAGGGTTTAGAGCTCATTCTGAGTGAGTATGTTTGCCCCCCATCCCTAAAGCGTATCCTCCAATAGTCAGACTGTAACTTTAAGGAACCAGCTTGTGGAAAGCAGGAGAACTGCTTTTGTTTGCCAAGCATTCTCCATCTCTGAACATACACTGCTGTAATCCATGCACAGCTCCAGGGCTGGGTCCAGCAAAAGGAAATTCCAAGTTCTAGAATACTGGACATTTCCATGGGACTTTTCATCCATGTGCTTTACAGGAAAGGGTTAAATATCACAATCCTCATTTTGATCGGTTTTCCCATTGATTTCCAATGGGAACAGGCCAAGGCTGAGCGCTTTTGATAAATTCTACCCTAAGTAACTTGTCCAAGATTATACAATGGTTCCGGAATAGAAGCCAAGAATTCACCACCACCCGCAACTGCGCCTGCTTTAACTACTGTCTTTTATTACTGTTCTTAAGACTTTGAGGGCTTCTTGCCCAAAGCATAGGTCAGCAGGAGAATGTAAAAAAAAAACAAACCCCACATTCTATTTCAGAAAGATAAGCAGCTTCCATATCTCACAGAAAATGGAGTCTCATTTAACTACTCCATGTGGTTGTTATAAGGGTGTTAGTACTTCATCTTCAGAGCACTTGGACCCCACATAGCATGCTCAATTAACTTTCAGCTCCAGCGGCTCTTTCCAAGGGTGGCTTCAGATCTGGATGATTTTAGACAGTTTTTTGCAAACTTGAGACTTCTGCCTAAAGATACATTTGTGGAAGGTCCTAGTTTGATCAAATAAAATTAAAAACTGGTCTTATCCCACACTAATATATAATCCGTATTTTAATCACCCTCCCCACATGCTTTTCAAATGTGAACCAGTTACTCTTCACAATGCCACGGAGTATGAAAGAAGTATCCCATCTGTAATGTGGTGAATACTTAAGGCCATTTGTGTCTGCAACAGCATTTCTTAAATGAGACTTAAATATGAAGCAATAAACAGACAAAAGTGCACACCTTGGTTTCCTGAATTGCAGGAATAGGTACAGCATGTACCTGATTCAGTTATTATAGTGTAGTCTGTCTAGTCTAATTTTAGATCCTGGCTTTGGGGTTTGCTTTGCATTATCCCAGGCTGCAGTACAGTACGATTTATTGCGTAGCCAGCTTAAGTTCCACAGTGGCATTCTACGCTAGTTCACTACACATCATATACCAGCCTGCCCTAACTGACATGAATGTTTTTAAAAAGGGGGACATAAGCACAAACCAGAGTGTCATCAGCTACCACACAGTGCTCATAACTGGCTAATTTTGCCAAGGATAGGAAGAACCGCTTTCAAATGGTTTATTGTGGATAGAGCTCCAGATTTTGGCTACATTCAGTGCCCTCTGCCTTTATCTGGGAATGGCATTTCTGTACATTTTAGGGGAATAGAGGAAGGGACAGATATCTGGTGACACATGCCCGCATGAGGAATGCTTCACTGAAGCCTGGGCTCTAGTTCACCAGCGTAACAATGGAATTACTTCATTTGTGGTCACCCAGTTGCATGAGTAACATCACGGAGATAAGAATCAAGGCAATATACTAGAACACAAGTTCACTGTGCTTTCTGGGCACCAAGCCTTGAAGACATGATCTTGTGAACCTGGCACGGCAGAAGTCAACAGTTCCCATTTACTTCCCCGACCCTGCATGTGCCTATCCAAGATAAACGTCATTTAGATCACCATCTGAACCAAGATGGAGATGGTAAAATCAGTGAGATTTGGGGTTGGCAGTTACTCCATCTCCCTCATGTTCAGTTTTCCAAGAGGCAGCTACTTATGCAACTTCGTTTTTTGTTTGTAAACTGACGTAGTTTGCTCTTGAGAAGAATGACTTTTGTTCCCTCCCGTTGTGTGTCCAATATATTGACGTTTGGTCGAGCGTAGAGGTAGAGTTTTGCCTGAGTTTCTTGCCAATCAACCTCTTGTCCATAGAGATTACACTAAGTATATATATTACACAGTTTTTCTGTCTGGGATTAGTGATCTAGATGGCCTACTCCTATGAAGTTAAGAGTACATTTAGAGGTCTATACAGTCATACTCCACCTCCACTTCCCACCTTCCCCACGGACATCAACGGGAGCTCCATGTTCCCATTAGAGGACATTATCTACTTGTAACGGAGACTGTTCAACTAAACAAGTTAGCATTAGCATTTCTCACTACTAGTCTCCACTTGCGTGTCCTCCAATGCCATTTCTGCTCCCAGCTACGGCAAAGCTGTACAACAGAACAGGAGTGACCGAGCCAGACTCCCTGTGCTCCATGCACAGCCAACCACCTTTGGGGTCACCTTACAAACTCATCTCCATTGATCGATCTATTTATTTATTTTTTTAAATCCGCGCTGGACTGTAAACTCCTCAAGGTAGGGACCAGTCTTATTTTATGCACGTGAAGGGCCGAGCGCCCTTAACCCGCTCTGCGGCAGTGTAACCCCAGAGTATTTTTCTGTAATGGCACTATACTGTGCAAGCTACTATTTAATTAGGCTAGACAGATGGACTTGGAAGGGCTATACTTACTGCGCTAGAATAAGGACGACAATCGCAATGAAGCTGATGCTGGAGAGCAGGACAGCTACCACCACCAATATTGTTGTTGAATCGTTGCCGATGTCATTTCTCTTCTGAGTCTTCATGAACTGTTCACCACAGCGTTCACCAAAGTAATCCTGGCGACACCTGAAAATAACCCACAGGAATATCAGCGTTAGTTCCAGCAGCACTGAGTGGCCTGTCTGAAGCCAAGCACACAGGCACCTTCAGGTGACATTTCAGTCAATTGACACAGGGGTCCAGGTGCTAGTGTTAAAGAATTTGCAGGAAATGCAGTCATCATTCTAGCCCAAGGTTTGCTGGTATTAAAACAAGTTGAGATCAGTTTGGGTGTGATGTTTCAGGAAGGCACGCCTTTCCATTCCTTCTGCTTTCAATTTTATGGCCAACTGATGAGTTCAGTGGCTCGTTATGCAGCTTATGAATTCCACCATCATCTAATTTAGATGGCGGAAAGTTTCTCTTGCGTGACAATCCAAGAGGTTGAACCAAGTTGATTTCCCTCTGACTAAGCCATTATTCGCAATGAGTACCTTGCCCTAGATTCAGATACACACTTTTATAATCTAGACAACATCTGAGTTGTAACTTACTTGCATGTTACTTCTTTGAGGTCTTCTAGGTATTTGCATTCACCATGAATACAAAAATTTTTGTATTCTGCTTCACATGGTGTCCCTTTCTTCTTCTTTTTATTTTTCTTCCCTTTGTTTCTCTTTTTTATTTTGTCAGGATTCTTTTCCCGATCTGTTTTTGTTTGCTTGGGTTTAATCACCGGTTCAACTGGGAAAGAGATAAAGTCACGTTCAGTCCAGAATTTATAACAGCTAATCCCGTTCAACATGGAATTATACCTTAGGCCTTAACCCTACAGCAAAAGGGTGAGGAAGTGAGTCTTGGGGGGAAAAAAACAATGCAAGCATTCGTATGCAAATGAATATTTATAACTAAGCATTCTGTGGCCAAGATTCTTTCACTTAGCCTCAAACATGACCCCTATAGAAGGATGAAGGGAAAACTTAAGCATTGTTTCACGTGGTTTTTAATTTAGATAACACACTGATTAAGGTATCCTCGCTGTATTAGTTTACAGGGGCACATTTAAGCCAAGATGAAGAATTGGCCCAAATGGACTATTCACAATAATTGCAAGACAAACAGGATTTGGTCCACTATGAGTGAAGTTCCGCAACCACTGACTTAGGTCTCCCCCCCACCCCACCGCATCAGTGAGCGGAGGTAGCACTTGTCAACCAGGTGCCAGCATGCACCTGTAAAGGCAGAATTTGACCTCACAACTTAGTGAGGATATCCCCAATGGCTATGTGGGATACATAGATAGAAAATAAATGTGTGCAATATGCTAGATTGTGTGTAACTATGCCTACTTCAGAGCTCTTCACATCTTACACTGGAAAGGAAATTCACACCAGAGTTGAAGTCACTTCAGGTCTACTACTTCTACTGTTATTGTCATCCCAGATTAGATACATTTGAGGAAACTGATGATGCTGCAAATGATTTTTTAACTTCAGCTGCTAGCCTAGGCAATTATACGGCCTCTCTTTACATTCCAAAAGAAAGATGGTAGCATCCTTAAATACAAAGGACAAGCTACTTCTCTTTAGCTATAATATACAGTCCTAGCAGCCTCTAGAATGCAGATAATATACACAGGAATGCACAGCAAGGAAAATCCATTTATAGTGTTAGTCCTTTTCATGAAATATATTGTTAACTACAGTTATTGATCGATCTTGCTTGCTTTGCAGATGGGCGCAAGCAGTACACCACATACTCTAGAATAAATATTTTACTCTCTCTCTCACAGCATGATGCAACTTTCAATCTATGGCTTATCAAATTGGTTTGTGAGTCATTCGCTTCATGACCTTACCCTTCTCATAAAGGCTAGTTCAATTCCCTGGTTATCATAAAACCAGAGTCTACTTAGCTGCAGAAAAGCCTCCAAATATACACCTGAGCATTTTAAGTTCTTATTAACTAAATTTGTCATGTATTTTGGTTACTCAAAAGAAGACACCATCCTCAGCTAGCAGACATTTTTGACTGTGAAGTGATATTAGTTATACCAGCAGGCAAACCAAAAAGTACCGGCCCGGTTGTCTGGTTTCTTTTCCCCTAGAAGAATAAAGCCATCCATAGTCACTATGGTCAGGCCAAGGGCATCAGCTGTTCAGTTAACTTTGGCAGATCAAGACAATCAATCTACTTTGACAGCAGGTCCTTCTTTCATCCCTTACCTTACAGGACTCAACCTGTAAGTTTGGGTTTAAAGGAAAAGGCCGTTGTCCAATTGTCCTGGTGGTTTTATTAATACAAACCAACAATAGTTTGCAAGTTGTATATCCTTAGAAAGCTGCTGAGGCATCTTCGGGTACGGTGTGGGAAGCAATCTGATGCGGAATTTAAGTTTGTGGGGCTTTAAGCAGCCCAGTGCAAAAAGTCCATAGCCCATCAACAAAACAGCAGCCTCTGGTTAACAGCCCAGTTTCAAGTGCATCTATTATCTAGCCCATGAACCAATACATTTGAGGCCCAACTTATGTTGACAGATTCATTTTCTCACGGAAGCCTAGACCATTCGGCACAACAGATCAGAGATGGGCCCAGACCAAACCCACCTTGCACAAAAAGCAAGTTCTACTTAGAACATTGTAGCTCAGGCTTGCGTCTAAGAGCCAGATCCTTTGAACTACCACTGGAATCATGGGCATCTTTCCACTGACTAATGGCAACCAGATCATGCCCCATAGCACACTGGAGCGTGCAGACTATTGGATGTTAAATACAAGGACAACCTTATAGACTGCAGAACTGACCTCAAGTCCTGTAAGTAGCTCTCTGACTTTTTCCCATTGCCATTCCCTATTAAGCCTCCCTAACATACAAGGGCATGGGCCAAACAGGAAACAGGAGAAGACCCTGTACTATTAGTCACCATTTTAGATACACTAGTGCTTTCCTGGATCGCAGGCATACAAAACAGTTACGGGCAACTTGGAGGCTTCATCTAAACAGAAAGATACAATGTTTGCCAACGTGAATTTTAAGTTAAAAGCTTTGGTGCGGACAAGCTGTATTTAGGGTTCACCTCAACCAGCTAACACATTACAATACAAGCTTGCCCCACCTACACTAATATTTTAAGAACATGTTGGACAAGACAAGTAGCTACCATTTAAAAACCCACCTTTTATCCTAGTCTAGACATACTCCAATCATTGCACAATAAACTGGTGCTTGCTAGTCACCCTGTAGCTACTTCCCAGCAGAGAATTTGCATTGGTTTTATTGCAAGTCAAAAAATTCGAAGACAGATTTTTGCAAGTACTCCACATTGACTAGCACCTCGTGAGAGCAGGAAGTACAGGGCACATATGAAAGTCCAGCCACTTCATAGGTCTGACTTTAAAGTAACTACACCAGCAGAGAATAGCAGCTAGAAAGTTTTAGGTTTTTGGGGAATGCTAAATTGCTTCAACATCCTGCACACCACTGGTTGCCAATATATTTGGCAAACCAAGCAGTGTAATATTCGGATGCACGAATCAATGGAAGGCAAGTTCAAGGCTCATCAAAATAGTCATCTTTAGAACAATAAGATTATTCTTGTATGTAACAGTTAGTAGCCAAGTAGTGAGCAAGCTCACCCAAAGAGATTTCTCCATCTTTTAAGTGACCTGTGTTCATGTGATACATTATCCTGGTCAAACACGATTTGGGGTCCTTGGGGACAACACGCAGAAGCGTCACTTCAACTCACCTCTAATTGAATCATCTACAATGTACATAGGCACTGCTGGGTCCTGGTCCTCCTCCTCCTCCTCATCTTCCTCAGCATCTTCATAGTCAATTCCTGAAGGCCTGGTGCTCCCATCCACACTGTGGTCCCATACCATAGGCACGTTTTCCTCCTGCTCGGTCGCATTTAGTCCTAATCCAGCAGCAGGTTGGCACCCTACAGAACAGAATGAAGACACGTTGAAGTGAATCAGGATCCCAGGCCTACCCCTCAAATCAAAGCTGGCAAAAGGGTTTACCTCGGAGCACACATTAAGCGGCTACTGGACACATGCCATCACCCACAAGTGAGTCACTAAAGAAGCAGCGCTGAGCTTTTCAAATGCAAGCTCACTTATGCCAGTCCAAGGATTTAAAAACCAAAGACTGGGTTTTAAGGTTTTCTTCTTAGCTAGGACAGACCTAAAACCCAGGGGGACTGCAGGGGGCCAGTCTACCCCGCAAGACAGAGCGGGGCTTGACCGCAGTCAGTTTCTAGAGGGATTTCAGCAGTTTCCAAATTGCTAAAGAGTGAATAGCCTCCCTCCATCTGGCCACCAGGGGAAAGCGGACCCCCCTGGACAGCGCAACACAGGCCCATGGTAAGTACTATGAGAGGAGCAAAACCGACTCAGTTGGCCGGGCCGAAGGAAACAGGGGGTTCTAATCCGGATTACAGCACCGGGGGCTCTTTTTCAGCCGGGTCCCGCACGGAAAGCCACGGGTTAGGAGACCTGACCGCTGCTCAGCCCGAGCGCCCTGCCTGCCCTGCAGCGGGAAGCCCCGCGCCTCCCTCCCCGGGGGGCCGGCGGAACGCCCCGCGACCGGACCGCGGCGGCTCCGGGCTCAGCGCCCCCCGCAACTCACCGCAGAGCCCGGCCAGCGCGCAGAGCAGCAGCAGGGCTCGCATCGGAGACGGCGGCGTCCCGGCCTCCCGGCCGGCTTCACTACGGGGCGGGGTCCCTGTGCGCGCTGAGCTCCCGGCCCCAGCTGCCTGCGCTCCATGGGGAGCCGCCCGCGGCCGCCGCGCTATATAGCCCTGGCCGCGGCCGGCGGGGCTGGGGCGGGAGCGTCGGCCTACGTCAGCCGAGGGGAGCGCGGCTGGAGGCGGGGCGGGCGCCACCCCTGGGTGCGCAGGGCGGCCGCCGGGAGGAATGCGTGGCCCGGAGCGAAAAGGGGGGACCCGCCAGCGGGGCCGTGGGTGGGGAGGGGCGAGAGTCCGGGCGGGCCGTGAAAGTCGGGCAGGGCTTCCCCTTTCACGTGCGCTGCCCGCCTGCAGCGCCTTGCACCCACCCCGGCCCACGTGCGGGCTCAGGGCACGTGTTTGTCCCCCCAGAGAGGCTCCCCGGGCAGCCAGCTGATCGCGGAGTCCGCCCGGCTGACTGACCCTGGCGCTGGCCTAGGTTGGCCTCCTTCCAGTTACACCTGGTCCAAAGAAGGCACATGTCGAAATCTAAGGCAAATGCTCCCCCCCCCCCCCCCTTCCCGCCCCGTTTTTCTCAAAAAGATCCCGACAAATGTTTGCTGCTTTTCAGCCAGCTTATGGGGAGAGCAACATGTGGCGTGCCAATAAGATTTCCCTCCTTGCTGCATCTGTTCTAACGGTCGTTCATACTGACTGTTTTATTTCTGAGAACAGCCTTCGGGTGCCTAAGGAAAGTGGGTATTGGTAGCACCTGTTGCCTGGAAAGGATGGCTTGCTGTAGCCCTCTGCTGGCTCTCCCCATGTACCCAGAGTCCAGCCTTACAAAACCGTATGCCCAAACTTCGCCTGGATGTCCATGGGACTGCCTGGCTGTGTACGGCTAAGATGGTGCAGAAGGGTCTGCAAGATCTGGACCTAAGATTGTAGGGGATTTAGTGCCGGGCCGGGCTTTTCCTTCCTGGCAGGCTTGGAAGGATTAGAGTTTTATGGGTAAATGCCGATAGGTTCCCCCCCTGCGAGAGCATTCCATTCTGCCTCAGTATCATCTCCCCCCGGGGCGCTGTCTTATCAGTGTGTTGCAGGGGGAGCACTGCCTTGGGGGAACAATGCTTCGGGGTGTGCAGCCCTGATGACACCCCCACCCTGCCCCCATGTGGCTTCCTCCTCACGGGGCTGGCTGGCATGGAGGGAGCCATGATTCCATCCCTTCCCTGCCCCTTTGGGGCTTCCTGAGGGTGTTCGGAGGAGAGGACTACCTAAATACCCCATTGCAGTTCTGCCTGACCCATGAGCCTGGGAAGGCTCCTGCCACCCTGGCTCTGTGATTAAGAGAGCAACACTACATCCCAGCTGTTGACTAGAAACCAAACTGAAAACCATGTCAAACGGGCCCCGATTCAGCAAAGGACTTCACCACTTGCTGACTGTTAAGCCTGTGCTGACATCCTGTTAACTTGAAGCATGTGCTGAAAATCAGGGCCTGTATTTTTACTATTGCCACAACTTGCAGACTGTATACGATGTTATAAAGTCCCCTGAAAAATTCTCTGTACAGGTGTCAGCCAGTCCCTCCTCACACCTGACACCCCTCCACCCCCAGCTTCTGCTGTGACTCAATTACACAGTAAAGTGAAAATATTGTGAAGCCGCAAAGAGTTGCCATAGGGACGCGTCATTTGTCATACACAGAGGAATGAGGAGTTTATTGCAGGGACGATCCCGGCAGGTCACCCTGCCCCCCACGTGGGTGGACGCATGCTAGGTATGATAGTGAATGTGATTTTTCACCAGCAAAAAAGCAACTAAAGGAACAGATGCTGATCTCCTTACTCAGCCAGTGAGTGTTTGCCTGAGTAAGGCATGAGTAACAGCTGCATTGTGTCACTTAGGCGGGAGTGGGGGGGAAAGGGGATTGGAGGGAGAGGGGTATTCACACTGGAGAGACACAATGCTCCCTAGAACTCCAGGTGCACATATGCTGGGTGACTGCTACTACACCTCTCTGCAGGTTGCAGCCTGAATTACTGCATGGCCTCCCTGATCTGCTGGGCCATTGTGTAGGGGAACTATAGCCTCATCTCCTCACCATCTCTAGGGCACTCACTGTGCTCCCTTCTAGCAGGGAGGGAACTGACCCTGTGCTCCCAGTGTCCACTAGAAAAGAGCACAGCTCCACTGACTCCATTGGATAGGGGATCAGGTCTCTAGAGTGCACGGGTCACACAAGGGGGGCAAGGGAAGGCTCGTTGAGTCCTTCCACCACACGTGCACTTCCGGGTGAGGGTCAGGCACAAGCTGGCCCTGGGAATGTGACCCCAAGGTTTTTCACCATGACAGGTGAAATCATCTCTTGGATTCCTTTTGATTAGCTTGTGTGGGAGAGAGATTTTGGCCCCCTAAAGATTCAGGTCTCAAGCAAGGACATGCTTTCCTGGAAATGAATAAGGGGAACTGGAAGGATATTTTGCATTGGCTCTTTTCCTCTAATCTGTATTTTATTTATAGTTCAGTAAACTTATAAAATCCTCTGCTGAACTTGGTGGTGTTCCAAGTTATTCATTCATTCATCCCTGTGTTACACACTGCAAAGGGTGATAGATAGCTCTCAGAGAGGTGTCCAGCTCAGGTTAGCTCTATATTTAGATCCAGGTCAGTCTGACCCAGAGACAATGGGCCAAATTGTCTCCCAGTGTCTGCTAATTGCTGTCACCCACAAAACACAGGCTTATTAAAAGAGGGAGATCAAAAGAGGGGGATTCCAGCCCAGCTGATGACCCATGTGGGCGTTAATGATTACATAGGATGGAATTTTTTAACAACCAAGGAAATGCATTAAAAGAACACGAAGGTTGTAAAATCAAGCACTCCGATGTTTGGACATGCAAGAGTTGTGGTCGCCTGTGCAGCCTTAATGTGGCTCCCTTGCGTGTGTGCACTTTGATACAGTCTTTAATTACATGATCACATCCTATTTTTTCCACTCTCTCTGCACTCTCAGCTCCAGTGCCCTTCTCCACAGCAGCCAGGAGCAGTAGTTGCAGAGAAAGTCGCAATCAGCCCGTGCAACCCTTGGGTGGAACATGCTCAGTCTAGATGGAATCTTCTGAGACTTCAGATGCCAAACTCGAACAAGTCTCCCCTGAGTGTGTGTGACCTGAAGTTTCCCGAAGGCTTATAACTTGGCCAAATGTGGATGTTTTTTCATAGGGCAGCAAAGGCACATCCTTGACATATAGTCAACCCCCCACCCCCGCGAAATTTCAAGTCCCTGCTCCCAAGCATGGAGGTGCTCCGTCTCACTGAAAGGGCTGTAAGCATTTTTTTTTCCAGTCCTGGCAAAGCAATATATTTTTACCTATCCTTGTTCTCAGAAATGGCTGAAACTTTTTCAAAAAGTTCAGCCTGAGATAGACACCGGCCGTGGAAAATTTCAGCCCAAACGATGAAAGGTAGCAAAGTTACAAGCAACTGGATACAGGGCAACCTTAGCTGGTAGCGCTGCCTGCAACTATTTATATAACAGTAGCGATTAGAGACCCCAGCCAACACCAGGGTCCCATTGTGCTAGATGCAAACACATACTAAGAGACAGCCCCTTCCCCAGGGAGCATACTACTTGGACAGCCTAAATAGGCAAGGCAGGCAAAGGGTGGGAAGGGAAACAGAGGGGAAATGTCTTCTCAAGGTCCTGCAGCAGGTCAGTGGCAGAACCAGGAATAAATCCCAGGTCTCTTGATTCCCAGTGCAGTTCTCTACCCTACACCATCTCTCCTGCCAACGGAGCTTCCCTGATCCACAGCAGCAGAGAATTTGGCCCCGATACATTTCACATATGTGGAATAGTCAACAAACCTTTTTTTCCCCTCTGAAAGAAAAATGAACTTTTTGGAGAGCTTTGGCATTCTTCGTGACATTGCTGAGGTTCAACTGTGACAGTGAAGCGTGCTATTTGCCTAATTCACACGCTTCAGAACTTGCCCGGTTTTAAAAATAGAAAGCAGAAACGCCACCGTTTACTCGCTTCTGCTGGAGGCATCAAGTTTGCCTTACCTGCCTCTTTTGTTAGCTTCCAGGGAGTTTTGAATCTGGATACGTGCTCAATTAATCTCAAATATTTTCCTATACTTGTTCCTTCTCCATGTGCTTTCAGAGTCACATTCTGGTTGCCTTACTTGTGGAAATAAGGCCATTGAAGGGCATGTGATTACTCTCATTGGAGGCCCTGGAAGGTGGATGCAAAAACTTTCTTCACTCATTTCTCTGGAAGATGATAGTCTGGCCAAATCTCGATTCATTGCCACAGTCTCCTGTCCCTAGTCAGTGGGAGTGCTGGTAGCATCATGAGAATTCCTGAACCCTTGTGGAAATGTAATAAACACGTGCCTTGCAAATTAATGCCCATTTCAATTAGTTTCTGTTACTGAGGGCCCAACTCTGCCATCCTTATCACCCCGAATAGCATCTAAGGGCTTAACTTTAAGAATATTATTAGTCCCATTGAAACCTACGGCCCAGATACCCACCTGGGAAAATATAGCACCCCTGGAGCTATAGTGGTTGCCCCCATCTGGCCTTGTGGACCTCCTCAGAGCCACAGCGTCAGCACTGTGCAGGATAGTGCATAGGACTACTCATGGGGTAGGTGCTACTCAGTGAGTAAGACAGGCAGAACCCGGCCCTGACTCAGTAATGTAGATACTGGGGGTTTCGTGCTTGGGGAAGAATGCAACTCATGCCTCTGAAATCTGAAGCAGAGAAACCACTCCTGAACTTGATTGCTCCCCAGGGTAGCCATTCTTCAAGGGTGTCTAATACAAGACAAGTAGGGTGGGATCTTCATAAAGCACTCAGCACTGGCTTCATTCTGCTTCCATAGAAGTCTCTGGTTTAGAGAATCCTACCTTTCAAATCTATAGGGCCAAATCCTGAAGTGCTCACCATATTCTTCCTGAGATTAAACTGTTATTGGAGCCACTGGGAGTTTTGCCTGAGTGAAGTTGGCAGGATTTGCGCCCTCTTTCGTTCATGGCCTTTTGATTTTGGCCTGTGGTCTCTGATCTCAGATGCCCCAACTCACTGCATGCCCTGCGGAGACAGTCGGCCCGATTTGCCACAGTGTTACTG